GATGAACTGATTCCTTGACAGACACCAACTACCAAAACCCATTCAAGAAAAAAAAATAACCTGAATAATCCTACCTCGATTATAGAAATTAAATTTGTAGTTAAAAACCTTTACACAAAGAAAATTCCAAGCTTGGGTGACTTCACCGGTTAATTCACCAAACACTTAAGGAAGAAATAATACCAATTATAAACAATCTCTTCTGAAAAATAGGGAAAAAACACTCCCCAACACATTTTATGAGGCCGTCACTACCCTAACATCAAAACCGAAAACATAACATATAAACAAGAAATATACAGGCCAATATCCCTCACTCTCATGAACATAGACACAAAAATCTTCAGTAAAACTTTAGCAAAATTAGAAGTCCAGCAATACATAAAACAGTTACTATGCCATGATCAAATAGTCTTTATTGCAAAAATACAAGACTGGTTCAACTTTTAAAATCAATCAATGTAACTCACTATATTAACAGACAAAATTTTAAAAGTAATATAATCATGTCTTATATATAGAGAGAGAGAAAAGGTATTTGGGAAAAAAATCAACACGTTAATGATTTTTAAAGATCAGCAAACTAGGAATAAAAGAGAATGTCTTTAACCTGATAAAAGGCACACACACACAAACCTTGCAGCTAACATCAAACTTTCTGGTAAGAGTCTGGATGTCCTCTTTCACTGAAACTATTTAGCATCATACAGTATGTCCTAATCAGTGTAATAATGCAACAAAAATACAGTCTACACATATTTGAAAAATCACTCTCTGTTCCCAGACAACGTAATTGTGGACATAGAGAATTTCAGGAATCCACAGAAAAGGTAATGAAGTAACAATTGAGTTTATCAAGGTTGCAGAAAACAAGATCAATACACAAAAATCAGCTGTATTTCTGGATACTAACAGCAAACAGTGGGAATTTGAAAAAAAAAAAAAATAAGATAAAAGTACTATTTACAACAGCACCCAAAAAATTAAATCCTTAGGCATAAATTTATTGAAAATGTATAAGATCTAAATGCTAAAAAGTACAAAGCACTGATCAAAAAAGCAAATTATATCTAAATAAATGGAGAGATGTAACTTGTTGATAAATTGGAAGACTCAATATTACTATGCTCTCACTTCTCTCCCAATTAAATCTATACATTCAATGCAATCTCAGCAGGCTTTTTTGTAAATATTGTCAAGCTGGCTCTAAAAGGTATATAGAAAGGCAAATAAACTAGAATAGTAAAAGCACATTTGAAAAAGAACAACATTAAAGGAATCTATTCCATTTCAAGACTTGCTGTAAGACTTACTACAGGCCAATATCCTTCATGCACATAGACACAAAATCTTCAACCAAATAATTAGTGAATCAAGTCCAGCAATATAAAAAGTTAATGTATCTTAACCAAGCAGCATTTATCCCAGAAACGCAAGATGAATATCCAATAATTAAAATAGTATGGTATTAGTGAAAGGATACACATATTCACAGGAACTTATCAGGTTGAAATCCAGGTTGTCAGCTTGGTTAGACTCCTGTTTGAAGACTCTGGGAAAAAATCTGCTTCCAAGTTCATATGGTTGTTTGTATAATATCGATCCTGACTATTAGATTGGTTCCACACAGATAAGCTCCCTGTTGATAAACCTGAAAATCAACACATTAGTAACCTTGATGGCATCTACATAATCCTTTATACCTTATAAAGTAGCATAATCAGGGTGTATTATTTCATCGTATTCATAGTCCCAGGTATTAAGGTAGAAAATCTTGAGGGGACTATGTTAGAATTCTGCTTACTATATCATCTATATGTGAAAGAAAGAACCTTATGGGTACTTTAAATCTTATATAAAAATTAACTCAAAAACAATCATAGACCTAAATATAATACATAAAATTATAAAATTTCTAGAAGCAAATGTAAGAGAACAACTTTTTGACTTTGGGTTAGGCAATGCGTCTTCATATATGACACAAAGGTATAATTCATTTAAAAAAACAAGAACAATAATTTGGGCTTTTTCAAAGTTGAAAATTTTTATGCTGTGAAGACACAGTTAAGAGAACAAAAAGACAAGCCACAGAATGAAAGAAATATATTTTCAAGTCATCTTTCTGACAAAGGGTTTGTTTCCCCTTTATGCATTCCTTTAGAATGCATAAAGAACTCTTGAAACTTAACCAGAAAACAACCCAATTAATAATGAACAAAATATATAAACAGACACTTCACCAAAGAAGTGGATGAAAAATAAGCATCATTAATCATTAGAGAAATGCAAAGTAAAATCACAATTAGATATGACTACATGTCTATTTGAATGGCTAATATTTAAAAAGTTCCATACCATGGAATACTACTCACCAATAAAGGAAACAAAGTATTGATGCCCATGGCCACATAAATGAATCTTAAAATGCATTCTGGGCTGGGCGCAGTGGTTCATGCCTGTAATCCCAGCACTTTGGGAGACCGAGGCAGGTGGATCACGAGGTCAAGTGTTTGAAACCAGCCTGGCCAATATAGTGAAATCCCATCTCTACTGAAAATTAAAAAAAAAATTAGCCGGGCATGTTGGTGGATGCCTGTAATCCCAGCTACTCAGGAGGTTGAGGCAGGAGAATCGCTTGAACCAGGGAGGCAGATGTTGCAGTGAGCCGAAATCGTGCCACTGCACTCCAGCCCAGCAACAGTGCAAGACTCCGAGTCAAAAAAAAAAAAAACAGCCTTCTGCTAAGTGAAAGAAGTCAGACCTAAGATGCGATATAGAAAACGTTTTATGATTCTATCAATATAACATTCTGGACAAGGCAAAACTCTACAGACAGAAAACGAGACAGTGGTTTTCAGAGGTAGGGGATGTGGAGAGGGGTTGCTTAGAAAAAAATCAGTAAAGATGAGATTTGGGTTGATGAAGCTGTTTTGTATCATGATTATAAATGTGGATATGTAACTATATATTTGTCAGGACCTGTAGAGCTATATACTACAAAAAGCAAATTTTATTATATGTAAAAAATTTTAAAAACCAACCAGGATGTTGTGGGAGGACCCAATATGGACTACAAACTTAACAAGTGAATGTAACTGTATTACAAATGAATAGTATGACCCTGCTAAAGAGGATAGGGAAGAAAGGGATTAACCTGAATTACTTTGAAAATGAGTATTTTGATCGGATGCTGTAAGACTAAATACTAAAAGAATTGTACAATACTAAATTCTAGTAAGTACATTTTCTTCTCTCAGGGGAATGAATTAGCAATCCTGAAACACTTTATGTTTGTATTATAGTTAAACAAGTATGTGAATATTTGGCAGATATTACTGACCAATACTGTTTTCTAGAAAAGCAAAGGTTGAGGAATTGTCACAGATTGTCAAGAGACCAGAAGAGATGTGACAACTGAATGCAATATAGAATTCCAGATTACATCTTGAAACAGAAAAAAAAAAAAAAAGACATTAGTGGGAAAACCAGTGAAATCCAAAATAAAGTTTCTGATTTAGTTAATACCATTGCGCCAATATTAACTTCTTAGTTTTGATCATTGTGTTGTGGTTATGCAAAATATTAACTTTAGGGAAAGCTACATGAGAGGTGTAAGAAAACTCTATATTCATGCAACTTTTTGGTGAGTCTAAAATTATTTGTAAATAAAAAATTTAATAAATAATTAAAAGAGAATAATGGGAAATACATCAGTCACTGGTCCATAGGAATGATGGAATTCTGATTGGACAGGTCTTTGAAAATTCCCTGCTCTGGTAGCTGAGGAAGTTCCTTAGTTGACACTAGTTCTGCTCCCTAGAAGGAACTCTTGATCATTGTCCTTCATCCCCAGTGACATTGCTAAGTTTTTGTTACTTCATTATCCTTCAAGACTATATCTAAAGTAGGTAGTGGGAATCATGTTCTGTTAGCAACTGTACAACTTTCATATCATACTTTCTGCTTATACAATTTTGATGTCCTGTATATTGGTTAAAGCTTAAGCAATTTTTTCTTTGAAAATATAATTCCCTCAAAAAATTCATAGACTTAAGATAATTTTGCTCATAGTTAGTCCCATGTGTTAGCAACCTAACTAAAGTTCTTTTGTGGGCATAGCTCCAATTCTTGCTTCATTTCATTATTTACTTTAATGGCAGCTTTCTTTCTTACTTTAATGGCAGTTACTTTTAGGTCTTCTGAACTAAGAGGACTGGTTTGGAAGGCCACACCCTTGGTCTGTTCTTTGCCTACCGAGACTGTTTCTCCCTGAGGATCTTAATGGTTTTTTGTTGTTGTTGTTGTTTTGTTTTTTAATTCTTCTTCAAGGTTATATGTAACAACTATCTTCTTTTTTGTTTAAGGTATAGGACTTAACTTTTCCAAACATAAGAGAGTCTAAATTTCTGGAGACTATTTTTCTGAGTTTGTATCTGTTTTGAAACATTTTTCTAAAGCAGCAAGGAGCTCAAAAAATACAGTAATCTAGCTATATCTAGTTGTTTCTCTTTACCCTGTAGTCTCAGTGAGTGCAGGGTATATAATTTGTTGCAGGCCACAGTTTACCAGATGTTTTGTTATAGCATTACAAAGGTCATACACATTCTAGCATGTTGAAGCCACCTGCTGCCTCACCACTATGCAGATGGCATATATATATTGACTTAGTTAGGAAAAGCCCCAGTTCTAGCATCAACTGTTAGAAAGAAACACTTTAGACAAATTAAATTTAGCAGAGTTTATTTGCACAAAGAAGAATTCATGAATCAGGCTGCACCCTGAAACAGGAAAGGTTCAGAAATATCCACCCAGCAATATGGGCAGATAGTATTTACAAACAGAAAGAGAAAGTGGCGTACAGAACCAGCTTGATTGGCTACAGGTGGGCATTTGCCTCAAGTGAACATGGTCTGATCAGTTGGCAGTCTGTGATTGACTGAAACTCAGCTACTGCGATTGGCTGGGATTCAACTATTTACTATAATATACTGTTAGGTTAGTTTGCAGCTTATTTATTTACATACTAAGTTAGGTTGCAGTTTGTTACACAGGAACTCAAAGTAAAGACACATCTTTGGGCCAAATTTAATTTAATTTGACACAATATCTGAATTAACTAAAATATAGCTAGGCAAACAATACAACGGCTTAACGACAAAAGAGCCTTAACAATACCTTCCCTTAAAGAATAGTTATGTTCATTTCTCTCCCACAAAACAGACCAGACATGAGGTTTGCTCTGCTCTGCATCTTTCTTATTTCTCTACCATTCCATAGTAAGTTGTTCCTGGCTACATGACGAAAGTTGGGGGAAGAGCATTGGAGAGTACATGTGCAACATGGTAAGGATATGGCCTGGAAATGGCATATGTCATTTGTGAAGATTTAGTCATGTAGTCACATCTTGGTACAATGGAGTTTGGAAATACAGCTTTTCGATGGGTGGCCACATTCCCAGCTGCTAGTCTAATTCTGTGGAAGAAGCAGAGAATGGATTTTGGTGACACTTAGTCTCCATCCGCTCTCCTCTTGGATTATCTATCACCACACTTTCCTGGTTTCCCTTTCACCTTCTTGACCTTTTTTCCAGTCTCCTTTGCTGACTCCATACTCTATTTAACCTCTAAATGCTTTTTAGGGATCAGTGTCAAAGGGACCAGTCTCTAGGTCTCTCCTCTTCTCTAGCAATACTCTCCCCTGATTATCCCGACTCATTCTGTGGTTTTTAAGTAACATAAAAATGTCAAATCCTAAATTCCTTTCTCTAGCTTTGTTCCTTCTACTATACTCAAAATTTCTATATACAATGGCTCTCTCGCAACCAACTACCAGAGATCTCAGCTTGGCAATCCGAACTCATCATGGACAAAACTAAACTCTGTTTTATCCCTACAAAGCTGATTCTCCCCCAGTATTTTGTCCATCCTGATATGTGGTAGCATCATCCAGCCAGTTGTCTGAGCCAAAAAAAAAATCCAGAAGTCATCCTTGGTTCATAAATCCTTCTCTCAATCCCAACATCCAATGGATCAGCAAAGTTTTGTGTATACTACCTTTAAAAGACATGTTGAACCTGTGCATGGTAGGCTAAACGATGACCTCCCTCCTCTGGCCCAGAAAAAAAAGATGTCTGTGTTCTAATCACCAGAACCTGTGAATATTGCATGGCAAAGGGACCCTGCGGTTGTGGTTAAGAATCTTGAGATGGGGAGATTATCCTGGATTCTCTGGGTAGGACCAACGTAATCCATAAGGTTTCTCATAAGAGGGAGGCAGGAAAATCAGAGTTACACCAGGGAGAGAGACAGAAAAGGGTGATAAAGTTGGCAATGGAGGAAGAGAGGAGAAAAGGCTATGTGATGCAGGGACATGGAATGATACAGGTCAAGGAATAAGGTTGACCTCTAGAAGCTAGAAAATGCAAAGAAATGAATTCTCCCTTAGAGCCTCAAGAAGGAACATGAGACTGCTGAGGTTTTGATTTTATCCCAGTAAAACTTCTGACCTACAGAATTCTAAGATAATAAAGTCATAAAATATAGGCCACTAAGTTTGTGGTAATTTGTCACAGCAGCAATAGAGTACTAATACTCTATCCGTGTCTCTCTATCTCCACTGCTGCTACCATAATTGAGGGCCAGCTGCAAGCACAAACTGTCTGAATTTGAATTCCTGTTCTGCTACTTACCTGCTCTGGGCAAGCCATTCAAGCTTCCTGTGCCTCAGTTACCTCATCTGTCAAATGAAATCATGGTAGAGTCGTTACGAGGACTCAGTGTGTTGCCATATTGAAAGTCCTTGGAATATTACTTGACATACTGTAAGTATGTTTAAGTGTTTGCTATCATTATTGTTATAATTTATACCCTGTATCATTTCAATACTCAGCTGGTCTCCCTGCTGCCTCTCTTGCCCATATAATCTCTTATTCACAGAATATTATTCACAGTAAGAATGATATATTTAAAACATAAAATTAAGTAATCTCCTGGATTATAATCCTCCAAGGGCTTCCCACTGTAATGAAATTATATCAAAAATTCTAACCAGAGCCTACAAGGCCTGGTATGATCTAGTCCATGACTTACCACCCAACCTCATGTCAGTCTACTGTCTGTTGCTGACTCGCTTTTCCCAACTACTGTTCATTTGGCTCTCCAAACTCACCACACTTTAAGTGGGCTGTTCCCCTGCCTGGAATGCCATTTTCCCATGTCGTCGCTTGACTGACTCCTTTTAGAAATTCATTCAAAGTCTTCTGCTCAGAAAGGCTTTCCCTCCCAATTCAAATGAAAATAGCTGCCTCTACTATTTACTTACTTATTTCATGTATCTTCCATGAAAAGAGCCCGCTGCTGTATCCCTAGTGCTCAGACTATAACTTGCATATTATAGATAATCAATAAACAGTTGTGAAATGAGTGTTGATGACATGTGTGAAGAGGCCATTTGTTGAGGTGTCATACTGGTGCATCCCACATATGTTCTGAATCAGATGAGCACAGTTTTAAATCTTTCCTCTCAGCAGAAAGGTTCTGCCTAAAGACAAACTAATTCATCAGTGATGATTATGTAAGTCTGTTTTCTCACATTTTTCTGATTATTTTTCTTAACAAGTGTCACTAGGGACACTTTCCAGAAAACCACTGAAAAGGGACTTTAGCAGTGTGTGAGACCTATATTTAATCTCCCAAACCCACCCTTTCTAAATCTGTTTTTGTTTTGGGGGACAGGAGTTGTGTGTTTATCAGACCGGATTTTGTTCTATTAGCCAGGCTAGAGTGCAGTGGCCCCATCGCGGCTCACTGCAGTCTCAAACTCCCAGGCTCAAGCAACCCTCTGACCTCTGCCTACTGAGTGAGTAGCAGACATGCGCCACCATACTCGGCTAATTTTGTAATTTTTTGTAGAGACGGGGTCTCCCTATATTGCCTTGGCAGACCTTGAACTCCTGGGCTCAAGAGACCCTCCCACCTCAACCTCCCAAAGTGCTGGGATTATAGACATGAGCAAATAATTTTAGGCATGAGCAAATAATTTTAAATTGTTTTGGTTAAAAATGAAAACCTGTGTGTATGATACCTACATGAAGTGAGTCCTGCCTTTAGAGTACAGCATTTCAGAGACCCATTGTTGAAACACCTGGGAACTTGCTTTCTCAGAAGATGCAAAGAAAACTGAGATCCAACAGCAGAAGAAAGGCAAGCCTCACATCGTCCATAGAATAGCTCCTAGGAAGTCCCCACATAGTGTTGGGCTCGTGTGTGTGGCCACCAGTTTGCACAACTCTGCACCCTGTTCTTTTATGTTTATTTTTTCTCTCATCTCAGCATAAGGCTATGCACAAATAGTAAAGAAAGTTTTTCTCAGTCTTCATCTATCTAAATTCTTTACAGCATCTTCCCTTAAAATATGAGATACTGCATGGGCCTAAGTTCCATTTTCATAGGGATGGGGTTTTCTGATTCTTTCAACATAGATCTCATTAGTTAATTCAGAGTGTAAGCTAAAAAAAAAAAAAAAAAGTTTATAACCACTCTGCGATCATTTTAAAAATGTGAAAAGATGTAACATGGGGTTTAGGGTTAACAGGAGAAAACAGACGACTGGATGGTGATTCACTCTTCTTCTCCCTAAAGACACCAACATGTAACCCTGGGGTGGCCTTGTCGACATTGCAAGTGCATACCTGGCATATCATCTGACAGCCTGAGAGTGCCTGCTATTACTCAGAAGAAAAGATGGTGTATCTGATAGTCTGAAAAGAACAAAGACTCCAGTTACTTCATCACTCTTGCTGGAGGGTCTGGAATTAATTGTGTTTCTTTATATCCCATCTAATTTTACAAAATCATACCTCTCCATGGCAGTTTACTAATTTACCACCTCATCTAAGATAAGACTTTGCCAACAGTAATAACATTTAGAAAATGCTGTCAGGCCTGCCGAATACAGTCTCCCGTTCCTCCAACCTCACCCCCAGCCCATAGACACACATCTACACAGCTCACTCAGAACTTAAAGCAGGTAGACCCAGCCTCGAAGGACAAAAAACAACCAGAATGATTTGGTACCTCAGAAGTTTACCTTCACAACAAGAATAACTAACTCTATTCAGACACCTCTTTGAGTATCTGCTCCAGTGTCAGTCCAATGGGTAAAGAGAGTAGAAAGAAATAATTGGTCTACACTTCAGAAAGGCATTTTAGTATATTTCCCTTGTACACATTTGTTGTGTGCTTATCGTATAAAGATCACTGTATGGATTACCTCCCCTCAGATTTGATGGGCAGGGAGCAAAGCAGGGAAATTGCAAATTTTGAAATGAGCATGGAAATATCAAGCCTGAAGATTCTAAATGGAACATTTGGTGTTATGGTGTTTGGGGAATAGAAAATGACTGGGAGGTTGGATATTCAATTCAGTTGCATAGTCAATTTCACCAAATTCTACTCTGGCCTAAGGATGAGTAAGCAGGCTTGGTACACAAATATCTTCTAAATTTAACATGGGAATATGGCATATACATGGGGACTTAGACAAGGGGTGATAGGGCAAAGGTAACCAAATATTAATAAGTGTTTCCCACTAGTCTAGTTTCTCTAGGCCATCAAGCAGTACATCCCTGATCTGTAAGCATGATATGGTGTGTATGTGTGAATTGTGTGTGAGTGTGTGTGTGCTTGTGTGAGTGTGGGTGGGGTACAAACTAAAGCAAAAGCATGTATGTTTCCCTTCTGGCTCAGATTGCATTCATAGATATAATTATTTGTTTAACATAGTCACACCATATCATATTACATTCTATGATTTATTAGCAAAAGCATGCTCTTTAAACTTCATTTTCCCAAGCAGTGATAATTTCTTGACATGTTTCATTACTGGGAAATGACATAGACATTTGTTATATTCTCAGACGATAAAATATTACCCTGCTCACATACCTTCATGGAATATTAAACAAAATGAATGCCATTCCCTTTCTGTGTTTATCATATCATATTAAAAGTGAAGACGTAACCCTTATGTTTTCTTTCCTGATAGACGAGACATTGGAAAGAATGAGTTTAGTTTACCCTTCTTTCCAACTGGCTTTACTTAGCTATTTGCAAAGCCTCCAATAACGCTCTTAGAGTATCATTTCAATCATCCAGCTTTTCAAAGGCCATTCCCAATATACCTTTCTTTCAAATCATCATGAAGAATAAAAATCCGAAATTTCCCCTATAAATGCGTTTCTTGTCTTAACCCCAGATTCAGTTAGTTTCAGGCAATGATGGAAATAGCAAAGATTGGGGAGTGATCCAATGTAAGGATTACACAATTCTTCATAGAAACTGGTTGTAGACCAACTTTATGAATACGTTGTAAACATTTATCAGCCCACATACTGGATCTTTCCATATGCATATAAAGACCATATGAAATATACATTCTTTACCACTAACATATCAAAAAATGTTATCTAGTGTGAGTAAGAGATTATGTACTCACAGGGTGGTATATGCACACCCATAACCACACAGATACACACATTTATTATAGAAAGAGTTTTAAAATACTATGGACTTTCTGTAGAAAGCAGTTCATCATGGAGAATAATAAATTTTTTTGAGTTTCATCAAATGTATTGCATATTAAGAGGGATTTTTCAAGGCTATGCTTAGAGTTGAGTTGAAGTCCTAGACATGTCTAAGTTTTCCTACCTCTCATGGATAGAATCTGCATTAAACTGAGGGGAACTTTGGCAAACACCAAACATTTTAGATAAGGAAAATCTGTGCATTTTTTGACATGACTATGGAAAAATAGCCTAAACATCTAAAACAACCTCAAGCTGAAGTTCAGATAGTCTAAGTTCTATACTTAACCTTTATTACTACCTTGTTTGAATTCAGGCCAGTAAATTAATTATTCTATACATTAATTTTCCAGGAGTTCCCAGGTGAGAATAAATTTGCAGTATCTACTTTTAAAGTAGTTGAGAGAACAAAATAAAACTGTATAATCAGTGCAGCTCTCTGCTGAAGGTGAGAACCTACGCAGTTCACAGGGTTTGCTCAATAGAAGGGCCATAGCTTAATGCTTAGTTGTCACTGACTTGAAATTCGTAATAATTTTACCTTTGAACTTGTGCTTGGTCCGTGAAGTCCAATGAGACAATGAAGCATGAGCAGAGCAGATGTGATAGCTGTGAACAGGTTGTGTGCAGGCTTGGGTCTTCTGGAATCCTGAGCAATGGGCAGAAACATCAACAGTGGCAGCAGCTGCCATGGCTCAGGGAGAGATTATATGCTCTGCATGGGGGCAGCACCAAGATCATGGCTCGCCCTTCTACCTCCAAAGCCTGTCCTTATAGCATCTGTACCAAAATTAACTCTCTGGTCTGAATACTGGGACAGGAACTGCCTGTACTCAGGCCATAAACTTTGTCAATACATTATTACAAAATCAACTGTGCTCATGGACATTGTACTAAAGCATATCAGAGAGTTCTTAAAATTCTGCAAAGACTTTAGACTCTCTGGTTTTGAAAACTTCTGCAATATTGCAAAGCAAATATCCACAGACTTAGAAACAGTTTAAAGATCATCACATTCAAAAGAAAAAGAACAGTATTCTCATATGAAGCTTTGGATGAACCAATTATTAACAAGGAAGACAATTCTAAGACTAATTTTTCTGCCAAGGGATATATTGTGATGGAATGCATAAACAGTTGTTCTGAATTGTGTACAAATTATGAAGCCATCTTTGGTTTCTTGTATGACTGCCACAAATTGTAGGAAACATTAGGAAAAAAACAATATTTTTAGAGAAATGTTAGAGAAAACAATAAAATAAAATGCTATGGTATATATTCACATGTAAAATTAAATTCAGACTTACAATAAACCAATTTGAATACAGTTAAATCTTTTTAGAAAAGTTTTTTTTGCAAGAATCATCAGTACTTGGCCAGGCACAGTGGGTTATGCCTGTAATTCCAGCACTTTGGGAGGCCGAGGAGGGAGGATCACCTGAGGTCAGAAGTTCAAGACCATCCTGGTCAGCTTGGTGAAACACCATCTCTACTAAAAATAGAAAATTAGCTGGGTGTGGTGGTGGGTGCCTGCAATCCCAGCTACTTCGCAGGCTGAGAAAGAAGAATCGCTTCAACCTGGGAGGCAGAGGTTGCAGTGAGCCGAGGTCGTTCCACTGCACTCCAGCCTGGCAACAAGTTTAGACTCCATCTCAAAAGAATAAAAAGAAGAAGAAGAAGTATTAGTTCTGGATGTGCTAAAAATGTGTATTTCAAAATAATGTATCAGAAATTTATCTCAATGTTCTCACAGCCTACAAAATACTACTAGCAGTTTTAGTAAACAGTTGCATCAACAGAAAGGTCCTTTTCAAAATTGAATATTATCGAGAATTATTTGCAACTTTGCATTTGCCAAGAGGACTGACATTGCTTTCAATTATATTAATTGAAAATTAAATTGGTAAAAGTGTAAATTTTGATGACCTAATAAATGAATTTGCAGAAAATTTGGCCAGAAAATTACGTAATTCATTGATATAATATTACTAAATTATTATTTATTTAAAATTATACCAATATATTATTGCGATTTGTAAGTTTATATTGTTACTCATGTATTATTATTATTCCTGTTATGTTTTACAACTAACAAAATGTTTTTAAAGAAAAAGCTTTCTCTTTTAGCACCTTTATAACATTTTTTCCCTAATTTTTTCACAAGGAGCCCTGCATTCTTATTTTGCACAGGACCCTGCAAATTATGTAACCGGCCCTGGATGGAATACAGTTTAGATTTTTGCCAGAAATTTGCTGAATTCTATTTAACCAAAGCAAGGCTCATTTTTCTTTAAACACTTGAAGTATATTAATTTTATGTCCTTTATCTAATAATTCTGCCTTGTGGACATTTGTTTCTTTGTGTGTTAGATAAAATTTGATTAGTGTGTTAGTGTTCATTCAGCCCGTGTATCTCTGTGACAAGCCTGTGCATCAGGGTTGAAATCTGCCCCTGCAGTGGAAATTTACATTGCCTCAGCCAGGCACTCCAGGATGCTAATAGGCCACCTGAGGTTGGGGTTTTTAAAACCAGGAGGTCATACAAAACTGACTCTAAACCCCTGCAAGGGAATATCTATATTATAAATTCTCAGAGATGTTTTTCTACCAGAACCCAGGCAGAAAAACATAGTTTCCTTATCATCTTTTTGTGAGCATTTTTTTTCCTAGTTCGCACTTTCACAAAACAAAACACCCATTAAACAGCCCACCTCCCCTCCTTGCCCTGACCCAAGGCCTTGCACTGGATTCTGGACCGACCTGAACTAAATGTCCAAAACCAGCGTTAGGTTAAGAAATCTTCCGCAAACCCAGGCAGCAGCAGCGGCCTCTGTGTCCCTTCACCACATGGTTTTCATTTTCCATTTTAATGTAGTACCTGATCATTGCAAACTACTCTGTGCATTGGAGATAATGTTGAGGATATTTTATATGCCATTTTTAAGTGTTTTATAGTTACAGTTCACTCCTTCAATCTTCCACTAAATGTTGGAAGACTGTGTGCTGGAAAAACAGTGCAAGGTGCTAAGGATACCTTAATGGATAAGACATAGCTTCTGCCCCCAAGGAGTTCACAGCTTGGGAATATAGAGTTGGAAATATAATTTTAGTAAAATGCGAGAATGCAATCATAGGGTCATGCACAGGATAGTACACAGGTGTGGGATAGTGACAGCTTTTAGCAAACATTCAATGTAACCTGTTTGAGAGGATAAGTTAACCTGGTGTTTGGGGGCAGGAGATAGGAGAGTGCTGATCCTGGAGTGGAAAAGGTGATTCCAGACAAAAGGGAAAGCTTGACAGAATAACAGAGGTGAAAAACCACATGGTGGAAATAAGAGCTGACTGATCCAGTGAAACGGCCTTATTCTAACCCTCTTTTACAAAGAACCGTAGTAGAGCTATGAAGATAGAAACTAAAAGACGATTAGGTTCTCCTGATTCAAATACTTCTTAACATAACCTAAAAAGATTTTATTTTTAAGTTACATTTTATTTCTTTAACTTTATTACTTTTTTGAAATTTTATTCACACTAAAACATCCTGAAATAGCATGAACTTTTAACAGCCCAGGCACAAAAACGTACAGCAAATTACATATTGCTTGCAGACTTAAGAACAATGTAGTTCTGATGGAAATTAATCAAACCCCTTCTTTAGAGTGTTAGTGAGCCCCTTACCCAAATTGTCAAGGGAAATATTTCCCCCCCATTTCCTTTTTCTGTTGTCTCAGTACTTTCTCTAATCCAGATTGCTTATACCTACAATTCTCATTGAACCAAGCTGCTCTGATTGTATCTCTCCTAAAGTGGTCAGTCCTCAACCTCTCTGCAACTGTTCAAGGTTTCGGTCTTATATGGGACTTTGGCTTCAACTGCCCCAACATTTGCAACAGAACATCTACTGTCTCTGTAACTAGTAAGCCTGTTCCTGATTTTTATTGCATAATTCCATACAATGTTGAACCGGTAAGTGAAGTCCCTCTCCGATTCAGATGAACTCTATCCTGTGGCTTTATGTAGGAAACTCTCCTTATAGAGTTTCCTATCTAAACCCACTAGAAATGGGTTTCTCTGTAGCATTAGGTGAGAAGAAAACATATTCTGCGCTAAGTCCTTGCCGTGATGCAAATAGCCTTTCTTTAAATATGTCCTCCTCACCTCCCTTCACACTATAGATGTTTCATTGAAGAAAAAATTGCTTCTCCTTATGATTAATCTTAGCCCAATGGGCTTGAAATTCTGTTGGCCTTTTGGGGCTCACTGATATTGGGTAACAAGTTGACCTTGAATGGTTATCAGGGGCATATAAATGCAAAGCACTATTATTATATGTAAATTACTATTTCTTTCTGTAAATCTTTCCTCTCCCTTTTCAAAAAACATATTTATATTAAGGTTGAATATTCAAATTTTTTCTGCAGATCTCTGTGAATAGCTTTAAAATACTTAAGTTAGAGCTCACTTCAACTCAATTGAGATTTCACCAACTTTTCATTTTCTAGCAATATGAATGTCAAATTACTTTGTGCTTAAAGATTACATGAACTAATGTACTGTTGGAATGCGAAATTTTCAACTATGAAGATTTGTCTTAATTTCTTTAAAAGGTAACGTATGATGTTTGTAATTTATGTTAAAATATACCATCATAGATCTTATAGTACTATAAATATGCTATTTAATTTAAGCTTGAGGCCGGGTGCAGTGGCTCACTTCTGTAATCCCAGAACTTTGGGAGGCCGAGGTGGGTGGATCACCTGAGGCCAGGAGTTCGAGACCAGCCTGGCAACATGGTGAAACCCAGTCTCTACTAAAAATATAAAAATTAGCCAGGTGTGGTTCTGCATGCCTGTAATCCCAACTACTCCAGAGGCTGAGGCAGGAGAATTGCTTGAACCTGGGAGGTGGAGGTTGCAGTGAGCAGAGATTGTGCTACTACACCCGAACATAGGTGACAGAGCAAGACTCTGTCTCAGGAAAAAAAAAAAAAAATTAAGCTTCAGCTCTAAAGATAGTCACCTCCTCTGACTGAAAATCTGCACACAAGGGAAATCAACTATAATTTTATTAGAAAGGCCACACTAGAAATACAAGCACTTCTATTATTCATATCTAGATCAATCCCTGAAATTTTGATAATTAACATAATAGGCTAGATTCTCCAGTCAGTATTTAGAATGATAAATGTTACAATTGGGCCTTTATTAGCAAAATTTAAATACATTTAAAATATATAGATTTAAAAAATTTTATAAAATTAAAGATATTTAAGATACGTAGATTGAAAACTGGATGAAATACTTTGGATTCACTCCTCACTCTTTGGTGAACAGCCTATAAAAATCCAGCCAGGTCCAAATTAGTCCTTAGGTTTGGTGGTGGGGATAAATTTTTTAAATCAGTAAAATTATGACTCTTTATAATATAAAAAGAACATGTGTCAAAGATTTTATTTGCCTCACTAACTAATGAGGAAACCAGAAAAGAAGTAACAGTTTATTCAGAGAAGACGTCTTAGACCAGACAAACATATAAGCCCATAGGTAATGAATTTTTTAAATAGGTACAAAACTGGTTTCTTCCACTGTAGGGAGGGGAAGTCCATTGAACCTCCACTAGACAGAATTTATTTGCATGTGTATAGATAAAAATTATTTGCCCTACTCTCATTTCTCTACAGGTTAACTTATATCTACAGAATTGTAAAATAGCTCAGACAATGAAAGGCAGACAGTACATAGAATCAAATAATCACAAAGGTATTCTCTAAACCAGTTGTTCCCAACACTTTTGCACCAGGGACTAGTTTCGTGGAAGACAATTATTCCACAAGATGGTGGGGCGTGGGGGATAGTTTCAGGATAAAACTGTTCTACCTCAGATCATCAGGCACTAGATTCTCGTAAGGAGAATGCAACCTAGATCCCTCACGCGCGCAGTTCACAATAGGGTCTGCGCTCCTATGAGAATCTAGTGACAGGAGGCTGAGCTCAGGAGGTAATGCTTGCTCACTTTCTGCTCACCTCCTGCTGTGCAGCCCATTTTGTAACAGCCCACAGATGGTACCTGCTGGGGGTTGAGGACCCCTGCTCTAAACAATGCATAGTTTTCTACTGAAAACACCTGCTAATCTTTTGGTTCATTTAATAGTCTTTCACAATTTTACCTTACTATACTACTATATTCAATCACTGATTTAGAAGGATTTCTAAATTACCTCTAAGTTTCTGTTCTCTGTTGATGCTAAACAGATAACAGAAGTCTACTTCTAGAATGCTATCTCCTTTTCCTTAGGCTAACTTTTCTTGCAGAATGTTGGTTGGAGCAACTAAAAAAGTAGAGTACTAGAACCACATTGGGATTACAGAACAGACTGTATTGTGCTTGCCTGCTCATAAAGGGTTGTTTAAAAATGCCTACATCAACAATGAAATTTACCAAAAGCTTGTTTTCATTATAACTTTGTAGCAAGGTTATGG